AGAAAACACATTGGGGCCAGTCCTGATAGGGTTGCCAACTCCAGATGGGAAATTCCTGGAGATTTGAGGGATGGAGCCTGAAGAGGGTGAGGTTTGAGGAGGGGTGGGACCTCAGACAGGTACAATGCCATAGACTCCACCCTCCAAACCAGTCAGTCCCTCATGGGGAACCATTGTTGTTAATCTCCAGGTGAGGGCTGGAGAGCACTCAGAATTACAACTGCTCTGCAGAAGGGGGGGCAGAAGTCAGCTGAAGTCAAAGGGGCAGATAATGGTAGGTTGGTGGCTAGCTGGGAAGGAGATGGGGTTGCCAACTACATGCTGACAAATTCCTGGGGATTTGAGGGGTGGAGCCTGGAGAGGGTGGGGTTTGCGGAGGGGTGGGACCTCAGACAGGTAGAATGCCATAGACTACACCCTCCAAACCAGCCATTTTGTCCTGGGTAACAATTGCTGCCAATCTCCAGGTGAGGGCTACAGATCACTCACAATTACAACTGCTCTTCAGGTAGCAGAGATCAGTTCCTCTGGAGAAAACAGTGGACTCTGTCATTATACCCTGCTGAGGTCACCACAGCAAATTGACACTGTTTGCCCAAAGCCAGAGCACTCCCCCAGAGCCTCTTTCTAGATCTCGTTGTATTGCTTTCACAACGAGCTTTACTGCTAGTCGGGCTTTACTGCTAGTATATATATAATGCTTAAAACAGTTAAATAAAACATATAAACATACATGAATACACACAGGGAAGAGGGCTTTTGTTTGACTAATCAATGGTAGTTCTATTGACTTATTAATGACCTTGTCATTTATATTGGTTTTATTGTTGTTTTCATGTTTACATTCCATTTTACTTGGACTCTGTAGTTTTAAAATGTTTTATTTGTGAGCCTGTGGGCATTTTTTTAATATGAAAACTTGGGATAGGATTTTTAAAAATAAATAAGCTCTCTCATCAGTCCTTCTCCACACATGCCTCCGCTGAATCAATTTTTGGCACTCCTAGCTCTGTTAGACCCACCCGTTCCCTATCACTCCAATCACATGTCTTTTCCCACTTCCTCTGGTGGTTTCCAGCCACCCTGGAATTCAGATGTTTCGTTCTGATTAGCTTACACAAGCAAAGCCATAGATGCCGGGTTGGGGGGGGGGGGAGTTTGATGCCATAATAAGATGAATACAGAAGGGACAGGATTTGTGGCAAAGGGAACGTCTCTTTGTTAAGGCAGTTTCAACATGTCTTTAAAATGTCCCCCCCCCCCTCCTAATTAAGAAAATCACATTGTTTTGGCCTGCGGGATCCCCGTGGGGGAGGGGAAATCACCCTCCCTATTTTCTGAGGTATAGGAAATTATGTTTGAAATGGAGAAAGTGGATAAAGAAACTTTTCCCCAATAAAACACTTCAACATGGGGGCCTCAATTAAGATGATGGACAATGGATTTGGGAAGAACAAAAAGTAATTTATCAGACTCACCGCCATAGGACTATTTTGCATGCTAATTTAACAAGCCACCCCTATATATATAACTACGATATATAATTCCATTTTATCATCTGACAAAGTGCGCATGCACATGAAAGCTCACCCCTTGAATAAACCTTGTTGGTCTTAAAGGTGCCGTTGGACTTTAGCTTTGTGATGGCACTAGGTTAGATGGAGGACAGGTGCATGGTAGTTAAATGGAGCCTCCATGTTCAGAGATAATATACCTCTGAATGCCAGTTGCTGGGGGAGGGTAAATGACAGGGAGCTTTTGGCCTCCTTGCCCCTGCTAAAGGACCTCCACTTCAGGAAGCACAATGCTGGACTAGACTGGTCTGGTTAAGACGCTGAATTGCAGGCTGTGGAAGGTCAGTAGTTCAGTGGTTCAAGACCCAGGTGCTGCAAGACACCTGTCTCTAGTTCCAGCTCCTGCCAACCTAGCAGTTCGAAAGCAAGAAATTGCAAGTAGATAAATAGGTACCACTTCGGTGGGAAGGTAACAGTGTTCCGTGCGCCTTGGTGTTTAGTCATGCCAGCCACATGACCACGGAAACGTCTTCAGACAGCGCTGGCTCTTCGGCTTTGAAACGGAGATGAGCACTGCAACCCTAGAGTCGGATTCGACTGGCTTTTGAGCAAGGGAACCTTTACCTTTACCTTACTAAGTTACCGTGTGCCAGTGGAGCCCCAAATAGATGTTTATTTATTTTGTTTTGTTATATACCTCATTTAGCCATCTGCCTTTCTCTCTGAGACTCAAGTCAAATTACAGAATTATAAAAGCTATGTCATAAAGACCACCATGATCCATACACTAAACAATACAAGAAAAAGTTCCCCATGAAGACAGATCCAGGTGAACAAAGTTTGAGTCCAGTGGCACCTTTAAGATCAATAAAGTTTTATTTAAAGTGTAAGCTTTTGTGTGCAAAGTACACTTCTTCAGACAAATTGGAATGAAAACTCCTCAAGGGCTATTTACAGGAAAAAAGAGGGTAGGGGCAGCCGTTAGGAGGAGCCACTCAGAGCCCAGATGCATATGCAGAGCTGAAATTGGATTCAGTGACCAGTAAGATCAATGGATGGCAGCAAATTAGCATGTAAATGCAAGAGTTAACAAAGAGATGTGAAAATGAAGTTAGAGTCCAGCCACACCCCCAAGGCAAATCAAGCTCAATCCTGTGTACATGTGAGAACAGAGACTCAGCAGACTTCCGGTTTATGGCAACACGCTGAGCAGACTCATCTCCCGGACCTCCCGGGGATGAAATCTGTGCACCAGCAGAAAGGAGAGGAGGCGACGTCTCGCTCCCCCCCCCCCCACGGAGCCTGGTTGAAAGGCTCCTAGCCATGGGACTTTGGAGAGGTGGCCTCTTCGCCAGCACGATGCTGGGGAATCGAGGCGCTTCTCTGTCTTGACGATCCTCCTGCTGTGTGTCCGTATGGAACTAGTGACGCTGACCAGGACAAACGCTGGAGATCAAACGGTTTAAACGGAGCTACAGCGAGGTCGCAAGACCGACTATGACCTGTGAGTCGATTAGAGCGTAATTTACATTTTAAAAAGAAAGCTCCCACCCCAAGAACTAGGAAAGAAAGCAAGCGGGGGAGGAGCCCCTCCCACACGCATGAATTTAAATGCAAGACCCGGGGGGGAGCGGAAGCAAAAATGCTGAAATCTGTTGAGAGAGACTTACCAGGGCCTGGATGAGCGTATATTCAGAGACTTTAGCAAATCTTCGGAAAGTAAACAATTCATAAAGATGGCGGGGAAGAGGACTGAGAAAGAAAAACTTTTAAAAGTGAAAGTAGATGGGAGCCCTCGTCTGGAAGCAACCACCGAGTTGGCTAAAACGTTGGCAGAATCCCTGCGCCCTCTGCTGGACCAGATGACTAATCTCAAGGAACAGTTGTCAATGATGAACCAAAGCATCACTACTCAGCAGCTTCAATTGAATGAGACTCTTAAAATCACAGAGCAAACAGCTGAGAAAGTGAAAGAAGTTGACGCCACTACCCAAAAGGTGAAGGAAAAGGTGCAAAGGTTGGAAAAGAAGCAAATTTCTACAGAAGAACAACTTTTACAGCTACAAATGGAGAAGGCAAACTTGGTCCTCCAATTCCAAGGTGTCCCAGAATTCAAAGAAGAGAATCTGAAGCAAGTGATGAGCGATGCATTAGCCCCAGTGACAGATTTGAAGGCGGAGTATTTTATGAGTTATTCCGTATACATAAAGAAGAATAATCTGCCTAGGGAAATAGTAATGAGATTCTCGAAGAGGCACGTGAGGGATTTTATCCTGAGAGCGACGGTGGGGACACCCTTGAAAATTGGGGACAGTACCATCAGGATTCTGAAAGACATTCCATTTGAAATAAGACAAAGGAGAAAGAAATATGGAGATTTGATTCTTTTTCTTCAAACAGATGCGATTGGCTGCAGGTGGTTGTGTCCGGAGGGCGTGGCCTTCAGGCAGGACTTGGGGTCTTCTGGAGAGGACTCTCTTTCTGAAAAGGGGGCGGCTCCCCCTAAAAGTCCATATAAACTGAGGAAAAGACAAGAAAAGAAAAAATGAAGGCTGAAGGACTCTGAATTGTGCCTTTGAAAATATGTTTTTAATAATGGGATGCTCTGGGGTTTCTCTCTAACAGTTAAATCTAAGTGTTAAAAGATATTTTAGCATGTCTGACTAAGTTCAAAAGATATCAGTGATTTAAGGAATGATTTTGTACTTAAGCTGTTTTAATGATCTCCTTCTCTTGGGTTTTTAGTCAATAGTGGTTATCTTTACTTTCTCCCTAATTGTAGTTCCCTTCCCTTATTTATTTGTAGTTTGTAGTCTAATTAAAAAAGTAATAAAAAATCCCCTTCAGGGGGCCCAAAAAAAAAAAAGAAAAAAAGAACAGAGACTCAGCGTGTGCACAGTACTTCACACACACTGAAACAGATTTCCTCAAATATTACATGCAGGTAGGGCGATAGTTGCCAGGAGGAGCTGATTAGAGTCAAGATGCATAACTAACTGAGCAATAAATATAGCTAAGATTGGAATAACATATGTAAATAGCAGCAAGTTGGCACACAGATAATAAAAGGAGTTAACTGCTGATGTGACAACCAAGTTTCTGGTGGCCTTTATAAGACCAACAAAGTTTAATTTCTGGGTATAAGTAAGAACGGAATGACTTTGTGTAGCGAGATAAGAAGCCGATGTCTCTGTTAAGCCATGAGGGTTCCATTGTCCTGAATGTGGTAACAACTTGTAATTCAGCAGTCTGTTCTTACTTATACCCAGAAAGAGAGCCATATTGAGTTATAGTAGATTTTTGCAGATGTGGTGATGGAGGGCCCCTTTCCAGAAGTACTAAAATCCTCATTTTTGGTCTTCTTGTCACTTGGTGTTCACTTTCCGACATCTTGGTTGATTGGAGACCTGCCCCTCTTTTAAACGGTTAAGAAGGGCGTCGTGGACTTTCTTCCGTTGTCGGTTCTGATGATGTCCATTTTCACAGGTGATTAAATGCAGAGCTGCAGTCATCTGGGAAGCAGGGCAAATACCTTCTGTTGAAGAGGTGGAGGTGGCACCACCAAGGACCCATGAAATTCGAGTGAAGGTCAGTAATTCTTACTCAAAGGGGATGGGAACCTTTTTCTGAGTCTGAATAAGGTCGCCAGCCTCCAGGTGGGGCCTGGAGATCTCCTGGAATTACAACTGACCTCCAGGTGATGGAGATCAGTTCTCCTGGAGAAAATGGTGGCTTTGGAGGGTGGATCCTGGCTTTACACCCCACTGAGGTCCCTCCCCTCCCCAGGCTCCACCCCCAAATCTCCAGGAATTTTCCAACCCTGGATAAATGTAGTGAATGAACCTCCTCTGACAACTTGGTAGGAGTATCAGGGAAGGCAGGGGTTGGAAAAATAATAATATCCAGAGTTTCTGTCTCCTTTGGCAGTATATCGTATAAGGAGGCTACAGACAAGACTGTGTACAGTCCGTAGAAATAAAAAAAAATCCAGTTTCTGCATCAAGAAAGCCAGATTTTTGCATCCAGAAGAAAGCATGAAGCAAAGTCAGATTTGTTGAAAAAGATACATTTTCATGGAAAATGTGCATAGCAAATAGTACAGTAAGAAGATATAATAAAGAGTTGGGTTGGCCTTTTAAAGAGTGTTTTAAAATAGCGCGGTTCCCCTCCAGCATCACCTCTCTCTTGCTTAGACTCAACTTCAGCACTTTTAACCTCATCTTCTCTACCATGGCCCCCCTGCCCTGGCTTAGGACTGGGACGTCTACTTCTGGATACTTAGTGAAAAGCAGATCAGTGTATCATCAACCTACGGATGATGCTGCGCTCTGAAGCCCTAATGGATCTGGCTCAGTATCTTCATATAGCCATGGAGCTGCTACAGTTAATATTTCCTAAACTCAGAATGTAACGGTTTGCTGGTCATAATGCTTGCCTCCAATCCAAGAACAGCATGAGCTGGGCTGACCCTTTAACTCGCTGGACCACTGCCTGGTGGGCCACTGCCCTAGAGAGCCCCTGGCAGCCAGCAGAAGGCTGAAGCAAGTAGCCCCTGTAGCCCACAGGGTTGCCAGCCTCCAGGTGGTGGCTGGAGATCTCCTGGGATTACAACTGACCTCCAGGTTTTGGAGATCAGTTCTCCTGGAGAAAATGGCTGCTTTGGAAGGTGGACACTGTGGCCTTATGCCCTGCCAAGGCACCTTCCCCAGTCTCCAGTCCCTAATCTCTAGGGATTTCTCAACCCTGATCTGGCAAGTCTTGGGGAAGCACCACAAAGGCCACTTGGCTTGGACAGGGGAGGCGATGATGACAACAATGGAGACTTCTCTGGTTTAGATTGTAATCTGAGTTGAAGAAGCATTCCTTCCTTCCTTCCTTCCTTCCTTCCTTCCTTCCTTCCTTCCTTCCTTCCTTCCTTCCTTCCTTCCTTCCTTCCTTCCCTCCCGTCCCACATGCTTGGCCTGCAGAGCTGGATGGTGCAGCAGGCTTTTAGGTGACTCCTACAGTGTTGCACTGGCCTGATGATATCACTTCCTGATTGCATCACCAATCAGGCAGGTTTGTGCCCTGCAGCCTCCTGCCAGGTACTAGCACTGGCCTGGCAATTCCTCTTGAGAAACCACGAGGACAAGAAGAGAACACAAAGGGACAGGAAGAGAAGGAGTTCTCCGAAGAACTTCCAGTTTAGACAATAAAATATGCCCTATTCAGAAAGAAAATAACACATGCAATCTAGTTCTAATGCAAAGAGAAATAAAGTGTCTCCAGGCATGCTATGTGTATTTTACTCTGACACCTCTCAATGAGCTTCTATATGCCTGAGATGGAACCTGCTGCAGTGATCCTGGTCGCCACCCCCACCCCCCAAAATGCATTTTCATTTTCCCCAGGCTGGCAGTGGAAAGAGCTTCAGCTTGCATGATTTTTCTCCCCTTCATGGGTGCGGGAGAATCATGTGACTGAGTGTTCCTCCATGTGATTGGCTGTTTTTCCGGAGGTCCTGGATTCACATGGAAGGCTACCTGCATGCTTGGAGGGTCACACCATTCCTCTATTGCAATTTTTTCAGAACTGGCTGTTTGTCAATGTAAGCAGTACGAATACTGAAGCCCTGTTGCACTTATTTCCACATAGATAGTGGCCACCGGGATCTGTCGAACAGATGACCATGTAGCGGTGGGTCTGTTTCCTGGCATCAGCTACCCAGTGATTGTGGGCCATGAAGCTGCTGGTATTGTCGAAAGCGTTGGACCAGAAGTCACGTGTGTCAAGCCAGGTAAGGATGATATTCTGAGAGCAGCAAACAAACAGAACCTGAGCTGTGCTTTTGCAAGAAAGTATTGTTTACAAATGTTCCCAGGAAGATCCAGGGCAAAACTTAAGAATGGGGCAGCATAAGCAACAAAACATTCATCTTGTTTCAGCTCTTCATTTAGGCCTCCTCCTCCTGGGTCCTTCAGCTTCCTTTCTTCAGCTATTTACGTTAATTATTTGCTGTTTCTCCATATAAAATATATGAAGCAGTTTATGGTTAAACAGATTTTTAAAAGCAGGTGAAAAACAACTCTCTGTTATCCAGCTGAATCTCAGAGCTACTAAACTCCTCTAGTACTGCTCAATACAAACGTACTACTGAATTGTTCAGAAGCACAATATTTATTTATTTATTTATTTCATTGGATTTCTTGACTGCCCTTCCCCGTTTACATGGGGCTCAGGGCGGTTTACAAGTGGATAATTCAATACAAATTATAAAACCAATTAAAACCACAAGCCTACAATATTAAACAATCAACATACATATTTAAAACATTGCAAGAACAAATGACATGTCTAGCATTCACATTTTTTTGGAGGGGGGAGGGCGGGCGGGTACCGGGCAGATGTAAGGAACCATCGCTGGCCTCAGAGAAAGGCCTGGCGGAACATCTCTGCCTTACATGCCCTGCAAAACTTTAATAGATCGGACAGGGCATGGATGTCATTTGGCAGAGAGTTCTACCAGGCCGGGGCCAAGGCTGAGAAGGCCCTGGTCAAGGCCAGCCAGATATCACTTATTTTGGTGTTAATTGGCACTTTTGAACCGCTGGGGTTGCGATCAAAGCTTGCATTTTCTGTATGCTATTTAAATCCTAGTCACTGCATTCTAGATTTGACTCATATTCATGGTTGCTCCAGTATTTCTTCCCCTTTAAGTCTATCTGATACTACTCAGGAACCTTCTGCATGACCATGTGCCATGCCTCAATGGTGCTCTGCCTCAGCTCCAGATAACAACTAACAATCAAGAATAGATTACACAAGGCAAAAGAGTGTTTGGGAGGCCTTGTGCTTTAGTCAGTTGCATAGATGCTGAGACCATTGCATGCATCCTCAGCATGCATGCAATTGACTAGAGCACAAAGGCCAGACTCAAGGAGGCCTCACAAACATTCTTTTCCCTTGTGTAACCTCTTCTTGATTGTTAGCAATTATAAATTCCTTGTTAGTATACAATTTTTAATTGGCCATAGGATAGAATTTGGTAATTTAAAATATTCTCTTTTTCTCCTTTTTGCAGAACTCCTTTCTTGGTCCTATATCAGCTTGTATACTGCTTTTGTATATTGTTTTACTATTGTATCATGAGCCTTAATGTACAAACGTTGTTTGACCATTGAGGAAGGCTGATTTGAGGAGAAATGCATCAGGTCACAATAGTTACCGTCTGTATACTTTGCATTTTTATGCTGTAATGAGGCTAGAGTAAATAAATGTTTTTAAGAACTTGAAAAATAAATACATGTATTTTTGATAATATTTAGATTATACATAGAGTTCTTAGTAATTGGCCCTATATTGGTTTGTAACTAACCTTTTTGGTTCTTGATTTGAGCATGGAGCCTGGGGAGGATGGGGGTGGAGCAGGAGAGGGACCCTAGCGGCGTAAAATGTCACAGAATCCACCCTCTAAAGCAACCATTTTCTCCATGGAAACTGATTCCAGGAGCCCTACAGGCCTCACCTGTACTGGGACTGGGAACCCTACCTTGGCAATCTCTCTCTCTCTCATCTGAGCTGCTGTACCTCATGTGAGGAGACAGAAGGCAGAGAGAGAAGACAAGAGTTAAAACTTTCCCCTCACTTGGGATGCAC